CTAAAGGGTCGGTTTGAATTTTTTTTACAAAAGCGATTTTTTAAATAAAATATGTTTTTTTGTGTGTGTTTTCTCTAAACATCTTTTTTTTTTTTTTTTTAAATAAGTAAATTTTTTATTTTTTTTAAGAACCAATTATTATCTACTTCTTAAAAAAAAAAAATTAAAAGTGTACCTGTCCAGGGCACCCAGTACAAAAAGTATTTATTTAAAAAAAAAAATTTAATTATAAATAAACTGACCCCAAATCTTAAAATTTATAATGACTCTAGAAGATGAGTTGAGATAAAAAAAAAAAAAAAAAAAAAAAAAAAAAAAAAAAAAAAAAAAAAAAAAAAAAAAAAAAAAAAAAAAAAAAAAAAAAACCAAACAAAAAAACAAAACAAAAGTCTAATATTATTGTTTTCAACAAAAGCACAACGACTCATTAACCACTTATTATTCTCAAATGCCTTCTTTCATTTTCAACTCAAATATTTCAAAACAATTATTATATAATTAAAATAATTAAAACAATGTATTTAATAAATTATAATAATTATATAATTTTTAAAAGAATTTTGGTGCGTTATTAAATGAATTTTACATACCACCGCCTATGATCCAAGATATTGATGATAGAGCTTGACAAAAAAGAAAAACAAAACAGAAGCTGCTGTTAAATGATGTTTTTTTAAGCATATTATAGTATCTTTTTAACTGTGCTTTGTTTTTAGTTGCATTAATTTAAATCAGGATTAATTTTAAAGCTTATAATTTATAAAAATATATATTATTTTGTATTTTTGAATGAAAAAATAATAATCTATCTTTATAAATAATAATAAAATTATCGATTAGAGTAATAATGTCTATTGAAAATTATTTAATTTAATTCAAATAACTTTTTAATATGATTAAAATTATTTGATTTTAATAAGATTTTTTTATCATATATATTACGTAGGCTAAATAATTATTATGTATAATTAAAATTTATAATAAATTATATATAGATTGTAGCTAATATTTTACTCTAATGTAATCTACAAACTAAATATTTATTATATATAATTAAAATTTATAATAAATTATATATATATAAGTATTATATTTTAATATTAAAATATATTTAATTTATATAAATAAATATTTTTAAATATATAAATTATATTTTATATTTATGTTAAATAATTTATATAATAACGTGATATTATTTTTAATTATTGATTGCCAAGATGTTATCAAATTAAACTAGTTGTTTTTCTTAAATTTTGCAATATAGTGAACCCTAGGTCATAATTCAAAGACACAAATCATTGAACACAAATTTTACAGTGCAAATTAGTAAGAGAATTTTTAACAAAAGATTTAAATACTGCGAAAGAAAATATGCACAAAGTTTTGATGATGCCAAAGCATTTCATTGTAAAATATTCTGTTGATATTGGGTTGACATTATAATAATGCTCATTTATCCCGACTAGTCACTATTAAAATGATTCAAATTTTATTATTTAATTGTTATGTTTACTATAGATGATCTTTTTCTTTATTTATTTAATTATATTTAATAAGTGTTCTCACTCTTTATTTCTTGTTGTGAAAATTTAATATATCATAATATAGATGGATCTACCGGCCATACCAGGTCCTTTTACCGTAGTTATCACTGCCGTTTTTCTTGGAGGTAATTGGAGTGTAGATGCTATCTCCAACTCAGTGACGTTCCAAGGCATAGGGCTTTCTTCGTTCGTTTTCTTTCCCGATCAAGAAAATCCCACTAATATAGATGGACCAATTATAGTGACTTTCTTTTTACCACCAGCAAATCATGCAAATCCTATTGTAAACTTATTTCCACCACCAATGTAAATACTATCGTAGTAGTAGTAGAAAAAAAGAAATATAGTATGTAAGGCATGTACTCTAAAATAATAGTAAAATAATATGTAATGTAAATATTGGAAATAATAATGTAAGATATTAGTAGTTTATAATTACGTATATTATTGCAAATATTTTAAGGTTATTATAAGTTAATTATGTGTATGTAAGTTTGAAAATTTCCTCTTATTAATCATTTGTGTTCTCAATCTAAAAATATATATAAATTATCTGCAAATATATATAAATGTATAAAATTGGGGTTATCATTTATATTATTTGACGTTACATGTTCTAGCTACTAGTTGGGAGAGGGGTCAATTTCCATGTCTTGTCCTGTTGTAGTGTTGTGAATTTAGTTTGCATGGTTCCATACCAATTTGAGTACTAAAGAGCCTGTTTAATTATTTTTGGTTTAACATGGGTAAGTAGTAGTGTGGGATAGATACGAGGTCTAACAGTACTAGATTTGGATCTAGTTTGCATGGGATGCATATTGAGATGTTGAGGTTGAATGTTTATTTGTCTATAAGAAGAGTTATTGGTAGTGGTTATGTTAGGGGAATTATTTGTGACATTGGGAGGTCAGATAGTTGATTGGAAGGTGTATTAACAAGATTATTTTCTAAATGATATATAGAATGTGGTATTGGAAGGTGTTGTGCAACAAAAGGTATAGTAGCTGTTGATAGTTAAGTATAGGAATTTGAGGTGGTACTGTGTAGAAAAATTGAGGGATAGGGAAATCTTGTTTCATTAAAGACCACATCCTTGGAGATGACAATTTTGCCAAATGGAGTGAGACAATTGTAACCTTTTTGCATAGTGGAATAGTCAAGAAACACACATCCTTCAGACCTGAAATCTAGCTTGTGCTTGTTATATGGTCGAAGTAATGGACAACACGAACAACAAAACACTTGCAATAAATTATAGCAAGGTAATTGCTTGAACAATAGCTGAAAAGGAATACCAAAATTCACTGAAAGTTGATAACAACTAATATATCAATAGATAATTGCAAAAAATACATGATCTCAGTAATCCAAAGGCAAAAGTGCTTGATGTAGAAAATTCAATCCAAGTTCCACAATATGTGGATGTTTTCTTTCTATAACACCATTTTGATGATGGGTATAAAGGCAAATGATCCTATGTATGAACCAAAATCCTTTAAATAGCTTATGAGAGGTTTGAACTCACTACCCCAATCTATTTGAATTACTTTTATTGGATAGTTGAACTGAAGTTCCACCATTTTCTTGAATTTCTTAAAGATCTAAAAAATGTTAGTCTTAGACTTTAGTAGCTAGATAAAGCTAGGTGAACTGAGAATGAGAATCAACAAACATAATACATATAATTATTAGTGGACATTATAGGATCTGGTCTCCATAATCACTATAGACAAGTTCAAAGGGATTATGATATATGGAAGTAGATGTATTAGATGGTAAGTGATGTGATTTGCCAACACAACATGATGAATAGAAATCAATTTTTTCTACTACTACTACGATAGTATTTACATTGGTGGTGGAAATAAGTTTACAATAGGATTTGCATGATTTGCTGGTGGTAAAAAGAAAGTCACTATAATTGGTCCATCTATATTAGTGGGATTTTCTTGATCGGGAAAGAAAACGAACGAAGAAAGCCCTATGCCTTGGAACGTCACTGAGTTGGAGATAGCATCTACACTCCAATTACCTCCAAGAAAAACGGCAGTGATAACTACGGTAAAAGGACCTGGTATGGCCGGTCCCCCCCCCCCCCCCGCCCTCTTAAGTTAATTGAGGCTAAAGGACTAACAAATACAATGACAAAATGTATGAAAATTACAAAATAAAATTCAATTCCAATTAGAGAAATACCAATTCAAGAAGACAATTGCTTCATTTTCAAAGAATAATTTGAACTCTACCGTTTAAAAATTAATTCAAATGAATAACACAATCGTATATTATGAAATTTCACAGAAAACACAAATATAATTGCAATTTACAATTCTATCTGAAATTCAATCTAAATTGAATCCAATTCAGTATTTTAAGATGTTCAAATTCAAGAACAAAAAATGAAATTGAAATTCCGATAGAAGAAAAGTTATTGTAATTATTGAATTCTTGAATCGCTAGAACGAATTTAGATATGCACATCTTCATCAAGATGTTGCAAGGATTTGTCTAGAGAAGAATAGAGAATAAAATTTGGATAGAGAAAGAGAAATGAAAGAGAGAATTTCAAGAAAGAGAGAGTTTTGAGAGACTTCTAAGAAAAGAAACTTAATTTGTGAAAAATAAGGTATATCATGTCAAGTGTACATGTATTACCCTTATTTATAAACTATACTAATGACCATAATCTGAGTAATTAAAGGCCTAGCCTACTAATCAACTAATTATATCACTAAACAAATCCTAACATTACATCCTAAAAATAAAAAGAAAATACTATGTAGGGCCAAAATTTTGTAATTCATCTTTAGGTCACTAAAGGTTCGAATTGGTCTTTTCTCCCAACAGAGAAGTTGTAGAACTCCTTCTTATCTTTCCAAAGATACAAAGAACATATGATTTTAATATTAGGAGCTCAAGATATGACCTACACAAAAATAGAGTGTAAAAGTGGGTCAAATTTCAAAAATTAATAAGAATTTACAATCATCACTAACTAAACCCATTGATACAAATCACAACTAATTTATCAATTATATTGACACTATTAAATGCCAAATCATCCAAATTAATCATTGAAATATGTGTCCCAAATATTCTATCACCTACTAATTTGTCCTATCACTCTTAGCAAGTCAATCAGGGTGAGTCTGAGGGTAATCTAGAGGTGTGATTGCCCCAAACCCATCACTAAGAGGCTTTTTGACCCAAGTAATTAAAAAAAATAAAAATACACAAAATAAATTAAAAAATAATAATTTATCAAAATAGGTAGTTTTGGACATGTCAGCGCTGACTAGGCATGGATGGCGCCTGGGGGTTGGGCGTTTTTTAGAAAACGCCTCTCCCCCAGGCGCCATCCATGCTGAGGTGGCATTGTGCAAAGAAAACGCCCAGGGGGGAGGCGCCATGCACAAGTGGCACGTTTGTGTTGAAAACGCCCCACCCCTAGGCGCCATGTGTGCCTATGTGGCACGCACTGAATGCGCCTCCACCTTGGGCGCCATCCACTATCAGTTATCACCTCCCCCAGGTAAGTGTGGGTAATTTTGTTTGCAAAACGCCTCAGGGACAGGCGCTATCAAATGACTAAATAAGTGTATTGGATTGCACGAGATTCATTTCCCCGGTTTCGGTTTGTGGTCCTAGTTTCTTATTTGGTGGTCCTGCAAGTAAGTAATGTATTTAAATTGTTATAAATTTATATTTAAATTTTTATAATATATTGTATGTTGTATGATTGATTATTTTGTTGAGTAGAGTGGTGTAAAAATTGAAGTATAAATTTTTTTTTAAATACGTACCCCAAACACGTAAGGTATAAAGTGGGAACGGGCTGTTCTGAGAAAGCACGTATTCAGAACGGTCCGTTCCAATTTTTAAAAACGTTGAAATGTGTTGCTCGCTAAGAACGGGCCGTTCTGAAATCAGAACGGGCCGTTCTAAAATCAGAACGGGCCGTTCTAAATGTCAGAACGGGTCGTTCTGGGTGCAAATCTTGTTCACATTTGCTGAATGTAGAACGGCCCGTTCTGAAATTAGAACGGGTCGTTCCAGTGGGCAATTTTTTTTTTAAAATTAAAAAATATAAATAATTTTAATTTTTTAATTGATAATATGTAATTATTGCAATTTTAATAGTTGTGATATTATACTGAATATTTAAAATTTTAAAATTTGAGACATAATATTATTGGAAAATTTATTTTGAATTGTATTTGATTAGGAATGTCTCGTAGAGGTATTGATTACGTACCTAATAGTGATGACGAAGTAGACATTGTTCCATCAAAGAACAGGAGCCATTGTCTCCGTTGTCACCCCCTACACCAAAACTTGGGGATGATGACGAAGAGACATCGAGTACACGTGACATTGGTCGTGTTATTCCTGGACCAGCTGGTTTGGTCCAAGCTACAATGAGGAACAGGGAAGCTGAAAATCCGTTGCCAACACAAGAGTTTTTGGCTGATCTTAATGGACCTGCGATGTTGGTGTTCAACTCTAACCCGTGGCGCTATGCTATGCATTATGTGAAATCTAGAGGTTTGTTTAGCATATTAAGTTTGATGTGTGTAAATTTAATGATGCAAATAATGTTAACTATAATTTGTATTTTTTTAACAATAGGTCTACCTGAAGTGACTCCATTGATTAATATCGACCACAATTTACAAAGAGTCCCAACAGTTGTTGCTTTTGTGGAGTCTATGACCCCAACTGGACAGGGAAATTATACTATTAATTTAAAGGTATGGTTAGTGAATTTGTTATACATTAAAAGAAAATATTTTGTAATTAATTGTAAATATTTATTTCAGGACCCAACTGCAGCGATTGGTGCAAGCTTACATTACAAAGTTAAGCAACACCGACAATATGGGGAAGACATTGTTGTGGGGTGTGTGTTAATTCTGAAACAGGTAAAATTTGTTGTATAAAATGAAATTATATGTTATTTATGTGTTGAATTGAATTTGTTTGTTTTTTGTTTAGGTTGTCGTGTTTGCCCCCAGGCGTTTCCGTGATCCTTACTTCCTCAATATAACTAAAAATAATATAAAACGGGTGAGTAGTATTAGTTAAATAAAATTTATTTTGTAAGTAATATTGTTTAACAAATGTATGTTAAAATTTTTTCAGGTTATTCCGAAGGATATCTGATTTGATGAGAAAAAGTATTTGTAATTTAGTTTTAGGTTTATTTTTAATTCGAATGGTTGTAATGTAAATTTTATTGTGGATTGTAATATTTAAATTTGGATAATATTGTTATTAAATATTCGTGAAAAAAAAAATATTTATTAAATATTTATTGTGCACTTTAGTTATATGTATTTGTTGTTGTTGTTTTTTAATTTTGTAATGAAAAAAAATTGTTAAATTGTGCACTTCATATTATTTTATTATTTTAGGGTTTGTCCATCTGCCTATAAATATAAGTGTGTGTGTGTGTGTGTTTGTTCTATAGATGTTTTGACACTTTCTCTTCAACTTAAGATAGACATATTGTAGTAGTGAGTTCGAAGAATGGGTTCAGCAACAGTGTTTGCTCTTGTGTTTCAAAATGTTCAGATATTTCAAACTCAGTACGGTCTTGATTATGCCATACAAATGCCATCTAGTGGGAGAGTTATCAAAGTTAACGAAGACATGACACTTGTTGATTTGTTGAATGAGGTACATAGGAGGTTGATCAAAGGGGATAGCAAACGCATAAGTCAAGTTCATTATCGTTGTCCAGTTAGATATGAAGATGGAGGAAAGCAATATACTCCATATCCTTTAACCTGTGATGAAGATGTGGCATTCATGTTTCACAAATTTGCAGAAGACCCGAATGAATTACTACTTAATTTGTTTGTTACTTTTGAAGATCTAGAGCCTCAACAATTGCAGATGTGGAACATGGTCAATTCATTTGAAAGACAACTAAACTTCATGTAGGGTTTAGGGTTGAGGGTTTTCTTGTTTGTATCGTTGTTTATTTTAGAAGACAGCCAGGGAGTGTTACTTATCTAGCTTGAAGGTGCAACCTATTGCCGACCCCCCAACGACAACGAAAGGTGTGAACGCGGTCAGGCAGGAGATGACAGAGGGCATCGGCCTTGATCCTCGGTTAGGGGAAGAAGAGCGAATCGAGCCGTCCGAGGACCTCGTTCCTTTTCAACTTGGCCGAGCACCCGAGCAGGTCACGCACATGGGATCTCAACTGAATCAAGCCGATTCGAACCAGCTGAAGCGAGCAGTTCGAGACAACAAAAACCTATTCGCATGGACGGTGTCAGACATACCAGGAATAGATCCAAATTTCCTTTGCCATCGGCTCGCCGTATGCCGAGACGCCCGACCAGTTGCCCAAAAGAAGAGAAAAATGGGGGACGAGAAGAGGATTTCCACCACCAATGTAAATACTATCGTAGTAGTAGTAGAAAAAAAGAAATATAGTATGTAAGGCATGTACTCTAAAATAATAGTAAAATAATATGTAATGTAAATATTGGAAATAATAATGTAAGATATTAGTAGTTTATAATTACGTATATTATTGCAAATATTTTAAGGTTATTATAAGTTAATTATGTGTATGTAAGTTTGAAAATTTCCTCTTATTAATCATTTGTGTTCTCAATCTAAAAATATATATAAATTATCTGCAAATATATATAAATGTATAAAATTGGGGTTATCATTTATATTATTTGACGTTACATGTTCTAGCTACTAGTTGGGAGAGGGGTCAATTTCCATGTCTTGTCCTGTTGTAGTGTTGTGAATTTAGTTTGCATGGTTCCATACCAATTTGAGTACTAAAGAGCCTGTTTAATTATTTTTGGTTTAACATGGGTAAGTAGTAGTGTGGGATAGATACGAGGTCTAACAGTACTAGATTTGGATCTAGTTTGCATGGGATGCATATTGAGATGTTGAGGTTGAATGTTTATTTGTCTATAAGAAGAGTTATTGGTAGTGGTTATGTTAGGGGAATTATTTGTGACATTGGGAGGTCAGATAGTTGATTGGAAGGTGTATTAACAAGATTATTTTCTAAATGATATATAGAATGTGGTATTGGAAGGTGTTGTGCAACAAAAGGTATAGTAGCTGTTGATAGTTAAGTATAGGAATTTGAGGTGGTACTGTGTAGAAAAATTGAGGGATAGGGAAATCTTGTTTCATTAAAGACCACATCCTTGGAGATGACAATTTTGCCAAATGGAGTGAGACAATTGTAACCTTTTTGCATAGTGGAATAGTCAAGAAACACACATCCTTCAGACCTGAAATCTAGCTTGTGCTTGTTATATGGTCGAAGTAATGGACAACACGAACAACAAAACACTTGCAATAAATTATAGCAAGGTAATTGCTTGAACAATAGCTGAAAAGGAATACCAAAATTCACTGAAAGTTGATAACAACTAATATATCAATAGATAATTGCAAAAAATACATGATCTCAGTAATCCAAAGGCAAAAGTGCTTGATGTAGAAAATTCAATCCAAGTTCCACAATATGTGGATGTTTTCTTTCTATAACACCATTTTGATGATGGGTATAAAGGCAAATGATCCTATGTATGAACCAAAATCCTTTAAATAGCTTATGAGAGGTTTGAACTCACTACCCCAATCTATTTGAATTACTTTTATTGGATAGTTGAACTGAAGTTCCACCATTTTCTTGAATTTCTTAAAGATCTAAAAAATGTTAGTCTTAGACTTTAGTAGCTAGATAAAGCTAGGTGAACTGAGAATGAGAATCAACAAACATAATACATATAATTATTAGTGGACATTATAGGATCTGGTCTCCATAATCACTATAGACAAGTTCAAAGGGATTATGATATATGGAAGTAGATGTATTAGATGGTAAGTGATGTGATTTGCCAACACAACATGATGAATAGAAATCAAATGCACTTTTATTGGGTATGGAAATATTACACTAAGACAAAACCATTCTTAATGTGTGGAAACGTGGATGTCCTAATCAACTATGCGAAGTAAGAAAACAAAACACTTTTAGAGATATTGGTATCTGAAATGATGATAATAGTTAAGTGTAGAGTATCCATATTTGGAACATACTTGACATTCAAGGGAGAAGTGTCTACCTTATGCCCTTTCTTGACCAAAATGACTTCCTTTGCAAAATCGATTACCTCCGCGTGTATTAGACACATAATCATCATTGAAAGAATTATTAGGAGCCTTTGTAAAATTTGCTCGAGTGGTTTTAGAACTATGTGAGACTTGTTGTAGTGTTTTGGAGGTCGCGGTTTGAATCAAATTAACTAATGTTGAGTCGACTAATGCTTGTTTATTGTATTGTTTGATGTAAGCTTCATGTGCAAGAAGCGCTCCAACCTTTAGTACCTGTAGTGGAATTGATTTATTACTAATTAAGGTTACAACGGATTTGTAATCCCATGGTAAACCTTATAGAAGAACATCAAGATGTTCACACAGAGAAACAAGATTTTCGATTGATGAGAGATAAACACTTAGTGTTTTCACTCGAGCAAGAAACTTAGCCATGGTTTTTCCTTCAAGATTCATGTTATGTAGTTCCATATGCAACTGACTTGCTCATGCTTACATGTGTGCATTGAAGTGCTCGTTAAGTTTCTCCCAAAGTTTCCATGACAGCACACAACCTATGATTTGTGTGAGTATACTACTTGTTAGTATCAATTGCAACCAAGAAGGTAACAATTGATCTTATTGCTCCCATGCTTGATACACCGAATTTACTAATTTAGTGGCATGATCTTCTTTAGAAAGAAACTATGAAGGAATATGAGGATTCATCAAAAAAGAATGAAGACAATGACCTTTGATGACATGTTCAATATGTTGTCACCATAGAAGAAAATTGTCTTCAATAAGTTTCTCCATGATTTAATGTGAAAACGTGAGAAGTTTCAACAGAGGTATTGTCAATGGCACTGACGAGGAATACAATGTGGATGGAGGTGGATTTGAAGCCATAAAAGAAATAAGAAAGGAAAAACCCTAGGTTCTAGGCTCTTGATACCATGTTCAAATATTGAACTTAGAGAATTGCATTTGTTATTATTATTATTATGAAAGCAGAATGATACAAAATGTATTGATGCTTATCCTCTATACATGAGTCTACATATTTATATTAGAGGAATAGGTTCAAAACTAGTTATTATAATTGACCACAATCCAATTATAACAATTTACATTAAAGACCACATCCTTGGAGATGACAATTTTGCCAAATGGAGTGAGACAATTGTAACCTTTTTGCATAGTGGAATAGTCAAGAAACACACATCCTTCAGACCTGAAATCTAGCTTGTGCTTGTTATATGGTCGAAGTAATGGACAACACGAACAACAAAACACTTGCAATAAATTATAGCAAGGTAATTGCTTGAACAATAGCTGAAAAGGAATACCAAAATTCACTGAAAGTTGATAACAACTAATATATCAATAGATAATTGCAAAAAATACATGATCTCAGTAATCCAAAGGCAAAAGTGCTTGATGTAGAAAATTCAATCCAAGTTCCACAATATGTGGATGTTTTCTTTCTATAACACCATTTTGATGATGGGTATAAAGGCAAATGATCCTATGTATGAACCAAAATCCTTTAAATAGCTTATGAGAGGTTTGAACTCACTACCCCAATCTATTTGAATTACTTTTATTGGATAGTTGAACTGAAGTTCCACCATTTTCTTGAATTTCTTAAAGATCTAAAAAATGTTAGTCTTAGACTTTAGTAGCTAGATAAAGCTAGGTGAACTGAGAATGAGAATCAACAAACATAATACATATAATTATTAGTGGACATTATAGGATCTGGTCTCCATAATCACTATAGACAAGTTCAAAGGGATTATGATATATGGAAGTAGATGTATTAGATGGTAAGTGATGTGATTTGCCAACACAACATGATGAATAGAAATCAAATGCACTTTTATTGGGTATGGAAATATTACACTAAGACAAAACCATTCTTAATGTGTGGAAACGTGGATGTCCTAATCAACTATGCGAAGTAAGAAAACAAAACACTTTTAGAGATATTGGTATCTGAAATGATGATAATAGTTAAGTGTAGAGTATCCATATTTGGAACATACTTGACATTCAAGGGAGAAGTGTCTACCTTATGCCCTTTCTTGACCAAAATGACTTCCTTTGCAAAATCGATTACCTCCGCGTGTATTAGAC